GATGTTAACAATAATAATAAATTATTCATCACATATTTAATTACAATATTGTGCGAAACTGACAAAACTTGTTAAAACAGATACATATAGCATTTTAGGACGAAATATGATAGACAATATCAATTTACTTAAGTCAATAAGGTGCAGCTACTTATGAGACAAATCAGAATATGGACATTCTAACCTTGATTGATTTGGAAACATTTTTGATATGACGTCATCACAATTTTGGTGGGGATGGTTATATATATTTTGGTTAGCTATTTCTGATAATAAATTCAAACCAGATGCTAAAATTTAGACTACTGGTTTAGTAATTTCTAAAAGAAATTGTGAAGTTTCATCGAAAAAAAAACACTACAGACAACCAAGAATATTCAAATTTTGCGAAAACAAACACATGGGTCTTCAAGATCAATCGTGACTCATTATTTTATGGAACATTTTTTATGATAATCCATACTAAAATAAGGATATCTCTGACCCAACAGAAAAATGTATTCTCAGTACATGCTTAACTTCGACTGTTTCCAACCCGGGTCTTTTACTTACAAAGCGGGCGCTCGATTACCGATTTCAAGAGACCCGCTTGTCGAACTTCGTGTTATATGTATCTAAAGTAGAGGTGGATTCATAGACCACAAGTACAAGAGTACATTATTTTATAAAATTTCATTACCCTTCATTGCGCAAAATGTTAGGTTAACATCATAAAATTGTTGGCGGGGATGATTAGGCAAATAATGGTTAGCGTTTTACCATCTACGTAATATTCCTAATATACAGGGTAAGTCACTAAGCGCGCGATCCTCGATATTTCATTAATTATTAGAGATATAAAAACCTCAAAGACCAAAGTTGTACGACTTTTTGAATACCGTATCTACACTTATTTTCGACTATATACAGAGTGTTTTGTTTTCGAGACATAGCACACAACTTAGTGTTTTTTTAAATAGAATATCCTACTTATTGCTACATATTTTTATTAGCCCTTCCTAGGCTTTATAAGCATATATTATTTTTGAAAGTCCGTTGCAACGTTGCCACGTTATTCCAATTTTTTTGAAGTTATTTACCAATGCAAGGTTAAAAAAAATTGCAATGATTTATTTTATGGTGGGAATATAATTTTACAATTTTCAAATATCGATAGTTCAGTTTTTTCAAATAGAACACCCTGTATTCTTAATATATTTTTTGTTTTTTTTTAATGTAGCAACACTTAACAAAAAAGAAAGAATAAAAACATAATAAGCTCCAGTAAAAACACAGGTGTTCTATTTGAAAAAAACTGAAGTATCGATGTTTAAAAATTGTTATAATTTGGTTGTATTGTAAATTAAAACCCAATTTTATTTATATCACAATAAAGCGGGTATCTTCACTTATCTCGCCACCAAACATTGTAACCTAGATTTTAAAAATAACCCCATTGCGATTTTTTGTGAACCATTACTAAAAAATTTTAAAGAAATTAAAATAACTTGGCAACGTCGCATCACAATTTAGAAAATAAATCATGGTTACAAAGTCTATGAAGAAGTTAATGAAAATGTATAAAAATATAGGTACTTATATAGGATATTCTATTTGAAAAAACCAAGTTGTGACTCTGTATAGTTGAAAATAATTTTAGTATATAGTCCTCAAAGAAGTGGACAATCTTAGTCTTGGAGTTTTCTTATATTCCCAATAATTAATGAGACATCCAAGAGAACGCGGTTAATGACTCATCCTGTATATACAAATTTAACAACAATCGGTCCAGTAGTTTCGGAGATTGGAGATTATCTGTCTAACAAAAATCGACATAAAAACAGAAAATAAACAGGCAGATAGACAGACCGTCGCAAATAGGGACTCATTTTTTCGTACTGTAAGGGTCATGAAACGTCCACAAAATATGAAAATACTCAGTCGCCCGATGGACATTATAATATATACATTTCCATTTGCCACATAGACCGCATATTACGAAGAAATTGGCACTTCGATAAAAAAATTGGTCCAAATTATAGACAATTAGCAAATAACCAACGGAAAAGAGTGTATTATTATCAGTGTACATACTTAACTTCGATTGTTTATGTTTATACATCGAAAGAATGTCACGTAGAAATTTGTTTATTTTGAATGAGTTGTCTCCTCAAAACAGAAGACTAAAATTATTAATTAAGTTTAAATGAAAACCTGGGAATTCTCACATCTTCTAGAAAATGAGGTTCTTAATTTGATCAATAAAAAATTGATCGAAGACTATAAGTATAATTCGACAAATCCAGCTCTATAAAAAAGTTATAAAATTTTATTTTACGATTTTCGTTTTGTGATAACCGCTGTAAAGTAAAAACCAGAGGCAGAAATCATACAGCTTGTCCTTCAGCAGTAGGTAATAGCAATCTGAAGCTCAAGTGTTTATTTATGTTTATGCATTGAAAGAATGTCACGTAGAAATTAGTCTGATTTGAATGAGTTTGTCTTCTCAAAACAGAACTAAACGACAATCGAAAAAATATTGTCAATATTATAATTCTTATTTTATCATTATTAAATAACGACGTGAAAATGGGGTGACTTGTTCTTAATTTGACCAATAAAAAATTTGTGATGACGTCATGAACATGGATAATACTAGTCACAGCACAAAAGAAAAGTAGTCACAGCCACGGAGACGTACAAACAGTGTTGGGAATAAAACGTTATTATACCTTGCAAATGTTTTTGCGAAAATTTGAACTTTTCGCGAAAAAACATGAGAGGGACACCATCTTATTGAAGCCAAATATGTGCATCACACACATCTCCGTTCCAAAACACAATCAATTTTTTTCACAAGTGCCAAATAAATATTTCTAGTAAAATTATTGCTGAAACTTTAGTTTCCAAATATTCTTCTAAGTAATTATATTGTACTATTGCCATCGGACGAATGGCTACTTTCATGTCTTCGTGACCCCTAAAGTACGAAAAAATAGGTCTTCCGTTATTAAATAGATAATCTGTGAAACTGCTGACCCAGTTGTTGTCAAATATCATGTGTGACTTAAGAATATCATGTAGTTGGTAAAAGAATAACTAAAATTTGTCTAATCATCCTCACCAACAATTTCTTGACGACCCCTAATCATTTTGTCCAGTGAAGATAATTTCAGTTGTATTAAATAATATACTCCTGTACTTTTGGTTTATGAATCCGCGTTGATATTTTTATCGCAAATACAATTAGGAATTTTTTAGCCGTTTTCCGAAATTTAGAGATATTTAAAAAAATCCCACCGAACTAAATTTTCCGAAACTCTTGATTTGGCACCATTATCATGTTTAATTTTTAGAATTAGCTATTTCGGAGACTTTTTCAGGATTTTTTGACAACTTTTCAAAAATTACAATTTTTCACCATTTGGAATTTTTTGCCGTTTTTCGAAATTTCAAGACATTAAATAAATTCCATTTTCAAATATTTGCCGTTTCATGACTTCGAGAAATTAAAAAATTCCATTTTCAAACTGAATTTTTGGAGTGTTTTTCGAAATTTCGAGACATCCAATTTCAAATTTTTCTAAAACTTCGATCCGAAAGTATTAATTCTTTGTTTTTAGCTTATCAAAATGTGTTTCCAAAAATTTTTTAGGGTGTTTAGGCAACTTCCAAAATCTCTATTTCACAATACACTTCGTATGAATTTTTCGACGTTTTCGAGATTTCGAAATATTAAAAAATTTCATTTTCAAATCAAATTTTTCACATCTCTTTGAAATCTTGTTATCCCACCTTCCGAGTTATTTAAAAAATTATTGTTTTCAAACCGAATTTCTTGAAAATCTTGTTCGGCGGACTATTAACATTGTTTTTCGAATGAGTTCCTCGGCTCTGCATCTGTAAATTTTTTGAGGCGAATTTTCACAAATGTCAATGTTTAGGCAACTTTTAAAAAAAATCAATTTTTCAAAACCCCTGTGTATGTATTTTTGACCGTTCTTTGAGAGTTCAAGATAATTAAAAAATGTCATTTTCAAATAAAATTTTACCCAAATTTTCTAAAAATCGAAAAATCTCGATATTTAAAAAAAATGACAATTTCATATCTGAAAATCGTGATCTAGTCCCAATTCGGAAATAAAAATAAAGAGCTGTATCTCTGTTTTCTCCGCACAATAACATGAAGATTATCCCAGATTCCATCACATTTTTGAGAAACTTCGCATTGATTATTATTTTCTCGATTGTATAAAAAATATAAAATATAACAACCTTAATCTTTCTACGAAATATCGCTGAATATTTAAGGTTGCAAAATTATTGCAGTTATACAGGCCACTGTTTTTGGATGGGCGGCTGTCACAACTTTAAAAAATTGTTTCATTATTTACAAAGTTTTTATCTTCTTTTATTATTACTTTTGCCTTCGATAAATAAAAAATTAATAACGATATAAATAATTTATTGCAGCCCTGTGTATAGAATACAAATGAGATAAAATAAATTTCCATACTATAAAATCTTTTTTTTCTAATATACTGTCGCACAAATACAGCACTCGTATGCTTAACCTGTCATGTTAATCATAATACAAAATTTATGCTCTTTAAGCCAAGTTAATCTATACAACAATCTTGCAAAAATTAGCAACTTTAATCAATAGGCGTGTCTTCATAACACCTACACTTCCACCTACCACTTTTCAGTAATTTGACATTTGACGTATCTAATACATATCCGTTTTCTCACGCTGAACTATCCGAGTTCATAATCTCATTATACTTGAACATTATAATTCTCGTTGTCCTAGTTAAACAATTACATTCATTTACGCACTGCATAGAAACTTTCAAATGACGAAAATGCCAGAAAAATGCACTTACAACATGGCAACACCTCGTTAACATTGCCACCTCAATCATAATCAGAAATGAAAGTAAATAAGTGCACACAATTCACCAACACTGTCACTTTTACCTTGATTTTTTGTACGCGTTTAAGTTCAAAGTCATACTTACAATCAGCGGTAGATGGTAGAAAAGATAGCAAACTATCAACACCGGATGTATTGTTTCCAGTCCAGTTCTACATTCTTCTTCGCTTTTGACTGGCTGCTGATTAATGCACGGCCGTCTACTATTGGTCGAGCTCACCGTAGTCGAAATATTCGACACGTCGCTATTCCAAACGACATTGTTGTTCTGTCCCTCGTAGTAATGGTGGTCCAAGTGGTGGCCACCCCTCTGGATCGTATAAGTGTCATAATAATTTTTATTTTCATTCCCAAGACCCAAACTCAAATCGCTCAAATCCGAATTAGATTTCTTCAGATAGTCGAACCCGTTTCTTTTAATTTTAAAATGGTTAAAACACGTAGCTATGAACGCGATCACCGAAACACACGCTAAAAACACATTCAAAACGATTATAAAAACGTTGTATTTGATATCAAGATCAAACGGCATGAACTTGCAAGGGTTGGTGTCAAAAACTGTTAGATTTTTGAAATTCGCGCCGCGGTCGTGTTGGGCCAAGATGGCGGCGACCCCCACGCATGCGCACAGTGTGGTCAAACAAAACAAATGGTAAATAACATGAGTGGGTGTCAAAAACTGACGCAAGTGTTGTTGTTTACGGTGTAATTTTACAGAGAAGAGTCCGATGATGGCTAGTGTGCTTAAAGAACTCGCTTGAAAAGTGTGGATGGAGTTGAAAATCCAAATTATGACGCTGCAGTAGTCGACGTCGATAGTGTTTTGGTTTAGCGTAACGAAGAGTGTGTATGCTAGGATGGTGAGGTTCCTGATGATGCTTAAGATTAAGATCGAAACTATGGGTATGTCGTAAGAGCCCCAGGTTTTGCGGTTGCGTTGGAAAATGGCGGTGGTCCAGACGAGGAGAATTGTCACGATGGGGATGGCCACCACCGAAGCGAGTTGTTCATTGGTGTAACGCAGCATTTTCAGGGGGGTGAGAAAGGGGTTCCTGCAACAGAAATAGAAAATTGTATCTAAAGCACTAAAGATATATTTTTCAACAAACTAAAGCTTTTACATGTATGCAACATTTTTGGGTAAAAAAAAAATGTGATCAAGTTATCTTCAGAAATACCACTTCAAAATTGGTGTTTATACAACACATGTTACAAAAAAACTGAATGTTAAAAAAGGTATTAGTTTTAGAATTCTAGGATTGTTAAACTGTTGTTAAACTGTTAACAGCGCATTATAAACACGGAACACCTACATCCAGGGACAGCTGACTTTTTGCTTATTTGCGTGTCGACTTTAATAACAGTAATAATAACAATGATAATGATGTAATTACATTCTAAATCCGAATCCTCTTAAAAATACAAACTGTTTATTACTATCCATCGAAAATTTTTGATTTCCATAAGAATTATGACGTTAGTGGTCGAAGTGTATGGTTTATGAAAATCTCGATCTGGCGTTTCTCTCTGTCATCTGTCGTCTCACCGTTGCTGCTTTTAGAACAACAGCCAGAGTATTTTATGTTTATTCCCAGCAAAAATTTGACGACATGATGTCAAAATCTGGTATTATTTTTGAAATTCTGATAAAACACTAACACCAATTTAATTATTATAGAACATCGATTAAAGTGTATTAAAATCTCCGTCCCCCAGTTGGCATATCTAAAAAATTTACCTTGAAGAATGCGAAATATGCGGATTCATAAACCACAAGTACAGGAGTATATCATTTTGTAAAATTTAAAGAGGATTTACTATGCCAAACTTGCAGGTGATGTTATCTAATTGTTGACAGGGATGATCAGTTAAATTTAAGTTAGCGTTTTACCATCTACACGTTATTCTTCAAATACGAGTACATATAAAATTTGATAATAATAATCGGTCCGGTAGTTTTGGAGAAATATTATTTGATAAAAATCGACAGAGACGACTGACAGATAGACAGACAGACACAAAATCACTATACAATTACAGTGAGCAGCAAAAAAATTGTTACAATGATTCTGATAGCAAAAATGTATTCGTTTTAGGGTGCTATTAAATTTGGGAAAGTTTTTCTTAAAGATAGCGTTCGTTTTCGAGATTTTTTTAAGAAACATTTTTCATTTGTGTTTTTTGGTAATCGAGTGCGTCGACCGACTCTCTACTTTTACGTTTTCTCGGCCTTTCACGACCCTTTGAGTACGAAAAAATAGGTCTCCTGTTTCCATCTTTCTGTCTGTCTGTCTGTCTGTCCGGATTTTTATTAGACAAATAATCTCCGAAACTACTGGCCCAATTGATGTCAAATTTTATAAGTGTATTATGAATATCATGTAGATGGTAAAACGCTAATAAAACTTTATCTAATAATCCCACCGGTAATGTGATGACGTCACTTCAAAATTATACATAGTAAATGGGTTTTAAATTGTATAAAATAACATAGTCCTACACATGTAGTTTATGACTCCGTATTGAATTTTTACCCGAAACGTCCAAGTTTTTGGAAAAAAAATCAAAAATTATAAAACAACATTTTGCAATTTAATTTTGAATCGCAAAACCGAATGCTTAAAAATCATGCAGATTTTTTAAAGTCATGATAAGCATGATAAATTTTTAATTAAAATATATTTGCTTATTCGTTCCAAAAAATTGATGACATCATCTCAAAATTTTGCCGAATAAATCTTATCTAAATGTACAAAATATGATCGGTCTATACTTGTAATTTATCATTGCATTCAAATTTTTTTTTCGAAGTTTCTTTCGATTTTATCATTGTTCGTTTATTCACTATATCAAGTTTTCGATTTCTCAGTTTTCTAATTTTTAAATTTTTCAATTATCCGATTTTCCGAACTGTTTAATCCTCAATATTTCGAATTTACAATATGTCGTCGTTTTTTCCAATTTCTATCGATTTTCAAGCTTCTCAGTTTTAAATTTTACGATTTTTCAATTTTTCATTTTTTCAGTTTTTCAAGTTCTTTCATTTTATATTTTTTCGTTTTTTTCATGCCAGATCGAAGCATTGAAGAAACGAAAGATTGAAACATTAAAAAACTAAAAAACTAAAAAAAATATGAAACGAAAAATTTGAAAAAAGAAAAAACGAATCACATCGCACAGTTGCAAAACCCAAAAATGGTAGGGAGAAATTGAAAAAATCGAATAAATTAAAAAGTTTTTAAAATCCAATACTTTAAAAAATGGAAAAATTCTAAAATCATGAATATGAAAAAGTGAAAAACTCTAAACATTATTATATACATATTTAAAATAGAAACTAGAAGAATTGCAAATCAAAAATTGAAGAAACGAAAAATTGAAAAATCGAAAAACTGACAAATCTAAAATTCCAAAAAAACGAAAAATTAAAAAACCTAAAAGTTGAAATTTCTTAAATACACCATCACTTTAACCTGTTCGATTTTTATTGAATTTTTATGACAGAATAAAATATTTCTCCCTTTCGAGCACAATTGATTTCACTGCGACGTGTTTCGGCCGAAATTTCAGCCTGAAGATGGCCTTATTTTATTTTTCGGCCGAAACACACGTTGCAGTGAAATAAATTGTCCTCGAAAGACAGAACATTTTATTCTTCCATAAAAATTAGAAGATGAAAAATCCAAAAATGGAAAAAATTCATATTGAAAAAAGAAAAATTATAAACTCTGGACATTGAAAAACCGAAGACTTGAAAAAATAAGGAAAATAAAAAATTGAAACGAAAAATTGCAAATCGAACTGAAAAAGTGAAAAACTGAAAAACTAAGAATTAAGAACTTGTGAAATTGTAAATCACAAAATTGCAAAATTTGAAAATTAACATATCCAAAAGTTGGAAAATGACAAATTGAAGATTTGAAAAGTTCAAATCAAAAAAGCTGTCGGAGTATAATTTACGCCACTAGTTTTTACTTTATAGAGGTTATCAGAAAACGAATATCGCAAAATTTTTTTTATCATTTTTCAATGAAGCGGGATTTGTTAGGCTCTACTTCAGGGACAAGGGAAGTTCTGTTCAAATAACTTTCAACCTATTTTTTTAAAGAAGGTGAAAACTTCTCGAGCGCTCTGTCTTGTTTTTTCTTATTGATTGTATCTGTTTATCAACCCCAAAAAATTGATGACGTCATCTCAAAATTTTGCCGAATAAATCCTATCTAAAATGTGCAAAATATGATGAGTCTGTACTTGTAAATTATCATTACATTCATATTTTTTTTCGAAGTTTCGTTCGATTTTATCATTTTTCGTTTATTCAGTTTTTTTAAGTTCTTCCATTTTATACTTTTTCTTTCTTTCATTTTTTATTTTTCAATTTTACAGTCTTGCAATTTTTCCATTTTTTTTATTTGAATAGTTGAAAAATTGAAATAATGAAAAATCGAAAAATTAAATAAATCGAAACATTGAAGAAACACTGAAAAACTAAAAATTGAAAAAAAATTAATGAATCGAAAAATTAAAACTCGAAAAACTCAAAAATTGTATACATTAAAAAGTTTTAAAATCCAACACTTGAAAAATGAAAAAATTCAAAAATCATGAAACTGAAAAAATGAAAATTCTGAAAGTAATTATTACATATGTATTTAAAACAGAAACTATAGAAGAATTGCAAATCAAAAATTGAAAAATTCAAAGAAATCAAATATTAAAACATCTAAAAATTGAAATTGCCTAAATTCACCATCTCTGTTTGACTTTTTATTGAATTTTTAACGAAGAATAAAATATTATTGGTTTCCGAATACAATTTATTTCACTGCGACACGTGTTTCGGCCGAAAAATAAAGTCAGGCCATCTTCAGGCTGGAATTTCGGACCAAACACGTGTCGCAGTGAAATAAATTGTGTCCGAAAGACAGGAATGTTTTATCCTTCCATAAAAATTTGAAGTTGAAAAATCCAAAAATGGAAACATTTCACATTGAAAAAAGAAAAATTATAAAATCTGGTCATTGAAAAACCGGAAATTGAAAAAAATTAGGAAAATAAAAAATCCAAACGAAAAATCAAAAACTGCAAACTCGAGAAAGGTAAATCGAAAAACTGAAGAAATCAAAAAATGGGAAATTGAAGATTTGAAAAATTCAAGTCAAAAAAGCTGTGGGAGTATAACTTACGCTACTATTTTTTACTTTATAGCGGTTATCAGGAAACGAAAATCGTACAATTTTTTTATCATTATTCAATGAAACGGAATTTGTTCGGCTGTACTTCAGCGCCGAGGGAAGTTCTGTGGAAATAACTGTCGACCATTTTTTTTTCTCTACTTATTGTTAACTAACTTTAATTACATTATTTACAATTTCAGTTTCAAAAGATAATGTTAAATAAACGTTTTCATTTGAGAGATTTTTAAAATAATTATCAAGAATCCTTCAGGCACATTTTTTTATTAACTGAAAGTGAAAGAAATTAAAAAAAAATCACTAAAAAATTACATTGCATTAAAAAAAAATAGTCGCTACGCGACGCCATATATGCGTCATATTTGCAATGTACTAAATTAAGCTTTCCCCTTAAAGGTAAAAACAATGGCGTTTACGGAATTTCAATATCTCTATCCGATCTGATGATATAAGACTGCGGAGTTTTAACTGGGACACTCGGTATATCTAAAAAACTAACGCTAACGTGTGTTGAAAATTTACAGGAAGGTTATTGTTATTAGATATCCAAACAAAGTCAAAAACCAAAGTTCTTTAAGGATCATATTCTAAGATTATTTTTAACTATACAGGGAGTTCTACTTTTAAGGCGTTACACACCCTATATATTTTTGAATTGACCTTTCTTAACTTTTACAACCACAGTTTACTTTTGAAAATCCGATGCAATGTTGCCACATTATCCCAATTTTCTTGAAATTTTGTGGTAATGGAAGGATTCACGAAAAAATCGCAGTAGGCTTCTTTTTAAAATTTGTTTTATAATATTTTGTGGAAGTATAAACAAAGATAGGCACTGTGTTGTGGTACTAACTAAA